CCCCTCCCCACCCCAACACACGCACACAGGTTCTGCCATCTCCTCTCCTGCCTTCTCAAGGTAAGAACGTCAGAATGCAGCTTCCGGAAGACATGACGAATCGTGTTTTTCGTTAGATCCCGAAAGCCAGCGTAGTTGGTTGTCCGTTTCTCCCTCTTCCGTGCTGCTTCCCCTCCCCTCCCCCCCTCCCCCCCACTGCCCTGGTCAATGGTGACTCATTTTGTGTCATTTTACGAGCAAATAAACCATCGTATCGAACCTCACCGGTCAGTTTGCTTTAGGAGCGCGACACCCCATGCACACACGCGTGCACTTGCGCGCACCAATGCATAAACGCGAACGGGTGCATAAACGCGAACGAGCACCGAGTGAGCCGCCAGACGACTGGGCGACCGAGAAACACACACACACACACACACACAGAGAGAGAGAGAGAGAGAGAGAGAGAGAGAGAGAGAGAGAGAGAGAGAGAGAGAGAGAGGGGGGGGGGGGGGAGGGGGGAGAGGAGTTCGTCTTTCTAACGAGTTGTTGGTTTTGGTCGATGGTGAATTGCAGGACACCGTCGACGTTGAGGAGCTTATACTATTGTCATCATTGACACCCGTCGACCGGCAAAGGTGGTTTCCCAGCTGAGTTCGTAATCATCATCATCCTCATCATCATCGTCGTCATGGCCGTGTCTCTTCTTCCTCGTCCTCCTTCGCGGCAGTCGGGACAGGGGAGTTTCCCTCTCCTCGCGGTCATCACGTTGTTGGTATCGATCTGCTTCTGCTGCGATCGTGTGTCGTCGACATCGTCCTCGTCGGGATCGACGTCCGATCACCTCCACCGCGATCCCGGCGGCCAAGCCTTATCCGACTTCTGCACGTTTCAAGCTCCCGACAGGCAGTGCCCCGTGCCACCTACCGTGGCTTCGGTTGACGTCAACGCGTATACGGGGCTATGGTTCGAGGTGGCCATCTCGGCGCGCTTCAAGATTTTGTCCCAGAGAGGCATCCGATGTGCCACCGCTAATTACACTGCTGATGGGACTGGACCGTACGTCAGGACCCCCCTGACCATTCCCCCCAACA